TGTAGTTCCGTATTATTTGACTTATTAAGGAGGATGCGCAATTTCTTCGCGACAAATTTTATCTCCAGAATACTACCGTTTTCCAGTTTTAATTTCTTTAAAGCTTTTTTTAAATCCTTTGTTGAAAATGTTTGGTATTTTCTTTCGAATTCTACACTGCTATTGTTATCAACATGACCAAAATTCCCACTAAAGTAATTGTAGACGACGGTTACCATGGTATTGATGTTGTTATTTAGATCATCCGGTGTGATTGGGTGCATGATTCAAAAAAGTTAACTTGAAAAAGTCGTTGGCAGTTGACCATTGTAATGGCGATTTGGGTAGTTTTATCCCCCTTTTTAAATCGGGGAAGTTTTCTTGGGTGTTCAAAGGTGATATTTCAGGGTTAACTGGGTCAGTGTTGTCCTCATGATTGTCGTCGTTCAATGCTTCAGTCATTTGTTGTTGCAGTTCGTCTTCAAGGTCGTCAATAACTCTACAGCTTCGTTGGTGCATTTTAAGTCCACGAGCTCCTTTGCAGACTTTACCACAGCAACATTTGACTGCTTTGCAAGATTTTACAGGTAGACACATTTGTGTAGGCATTTCCATAGCAGGATTAACATTCAAAGTGGATTCTCGTTCGTTCCCAACTTTACTTTTACACCGCCACGAGTGACGGCCTAACGATTCAAATTCCTTGCCACAAAATCCACATATTATTAGCGTTGAAAATAACGCAAGCAAGCTTGCACGAATCATACTTGATTAATTTTAGGTATAAAATTCAAAATGTAACGTAACTATATCAATTCAAGTAAAATTTTTCGATGAAACCAATAATAATAATAATAATAATAATAATAATAATAATAATAATAATGATAATAATAATAATAATAATAATAATAATAATAATAATAATGGAAACTTTATTACTTTCAATAATATATATACACACTACAATGATAAACCTCTCTTTACAGGTAGTTTACCAGTGTCTACTTGAATTAACACTCTACATAATAACAATAATAATAACAATAATAATAACAATAATAATAATAATAATAATAATAATAATAATAATAATAATAATAATAATAATAATAATAATAATAATAATAATAATAATAATAATAATAATAATAATAATAATAATAATAATAATAATAATAATAATAATAATACTGTAAACACATTTTATTTCATTTCATACAAATATTAGTAACCAGCTCTCACTAAAGTATTATAGGCAACCTGGCTACATTATGGTACAAAAGATTAAGAAAAGAATACAATGTTAAACTAAGCTTAAAATATTTACAAATCATCAAAATGGAATTTCTACAGAAATGCTATTACAATGGTTATTTTAAAATACGTTCGTAAGGTAACAACGTAGACAGTGTCAAATAAGATAACTGTACATACACATGACAGCATGAATCCTACCAATATAAAAGTTCAGGGCAAGACCATTGTCTGTTTCTAGAGCAAAATATATAATAACTTGTCCTTATGCAGCAGCCGGTTAGTTTTCTAATGATGAATTTTCTTTGCATATCGCTTAATCTTACTTCGCGGTCCAAAAAGTCATAGAACTGTTTACATTCATGACTTAAAACTCCAATCGCGCCCATGCATAAGTTAAAATACGTTACTTTGTTAAATCGTTCTCTTAAAAAGTTACAAAGATCCTTGTATCGTTCCCTTTTCCTTAAACAGTTTTTTGCCATATTAGTTTCAAAGCCGATTGTCAATTCAATAACATATATATTTTGGTTGTTGTCTGATATTACCAAGTCTGGTCGGTCATTACAGCCTGTGATCACAGATGGATTATCAAAACCAGAAATGTCTGCATAAACGTGAAAGTCCCTTCTGACACTAGATATGTACGTTGCTAGGTGTTTCAGCACTGAATTGTGTCTCCATGTGTATCGACCTTCGTCCAGGGATGTTTTGCAAGAAGACACTATATGTTGTAGTGTTTGCACATTCAAGCAGAAATGACACAGATTATTTTGAGCTTTCTTCCACAAAACCATGTTTGTTAATGTAGGTAGGGTGTTATTTAAATATCTAGTTACGAAGTTGTATATGTTTTTAGGGAGTTTGTCAACTGCCGAGTGCCAATCTTTCGCTGTACCCTGGAAAGCATCTCTCCAAATCGACTTAATTATAAGACTCTGCGACGTTAGCTTGCTTTCAATATTAAAGATCTTATCTTTCCTAATTTCAATAATAATAATAATAATAATAATAATAATAATAATAATAATAATAATAATAATAATAATAATAATAATAATAATAATAATAATAATAATAATAATAATAATAATAATGGAAACTTTATTACTTTCAATAATATATATACACACTACAATGATAAACCTCTCTTTACAGGTAGTTTACCAGTGTCTACTTGAATTAACACTCTACATAATAACAATATTAGTATGACATTAGTT